TTGCTTGATGAGCACAGAATCAGAATAAATGGAGTTATGTGCGTAGACATTTCTTGATTCATCTATCTTCACAACAGGATGATTTTGTCTCAAAGATAAAAATACTCAATTTCCAATGGTTGCAGTTTTCCACATTGATCTCCGATACAATAGGGACCACCTGCTGAGCTGTTGATTTGTGCTCCTTCTCTCCTTGACAGCACTTGGATGGTCACTGGCCCTAAAGTGCCCCTGTATATTACTTTCTCTGTTTCCATGGCTACCCAAACATCTTAGCAATATTCTTTCAATAAAAATCAAGTTAAAGTTAACTCAGGCCAGTTTGTGCCTTAAAGTTGACTTTGCTTATTCTGCTCCTATTCATTGTATGTGATCTGAAAGTCTAACTCTGAGAGAGCAGTTTTATTTCCCCTTATTTCCAATTTCTTGGGGAAAATATGACTGAAATCTCCATGTAGTGGTACAATGTCCAAAGGCAAATAATATTCTTTTTTTTTCTGTGAATTTAATATAATTTATCCCCTTTAATTTTTTCAACACATATTTTGTATTGATATATAATTCCCATGCCACAAAATTCACCCTTTAAAATGTATAATTTCAACTTTTTTAGTATGTTCACAAAGTTATACAACCATCACCACTAATTCCAGAACATCATCATCACTCCAAATTTAAACTCCACACCCATTACTATCCCTATTTCCCCTTCCCACCAGCCCCTGGCAACTACTAATTTGTTTTGACACCATCAATTTGTGTATTCTGGACATTTCACATAAAGGGAATTACACAGTATGTGGTCTTTTATGTCTGCGAAGCCAAATAATATTCTTTTTAAATTTACTTTGTCTTGGATTATTTGTACCTCTCCTAACACCCTATCAGTGTAGGTAAAGTTGTCATAACAAAAATGCTTTCATGACAGATCAGATGAAAGCTTGTCATTTAATTTTTAGGGCTGCCTTTTTGTTTTGTTTTGTTTTGGACTTCTACAATAACTTGGAACCAGTACTGCTTTTTAAACAAGAATTTTAGGGTAACATTATTAAATTGCCAATTGATAGTATGAAATCAGGCAAACTAGTTTTTTACTGAAAGCAAATTAATTCTCTAAACGATATGACCTTTTGCTTTGTGATTGCCCAGCCTTATTTGCTAATGGTTTTATTGAGAGAAGGTATACCCTTCTCTTTGGAATTGATTCCAGGAGTTCGAGACCAGCCTGAGCAAGAGTGAGACCCCATCTCTACTAAAAATAGGAAAAATTTGCTGGGCGTGGTGCTGTGCTGCACACCTGTAGTCCCAGCTACTCGGGAGGGTGAGGCAGGAGGATCACTTGAGCCCAGGAGTTTGAGGTTGCTGTGAGCTAAGCTGACGGCACAGCACTCTAGCCTGGGCAACACAGTGAGACTCTGTCTCAAAAAAACAAAAACAGGCCGGGCATGGTGGCTCATGCCTGTAATCCTAGCACTGTGGGAGGCCGGGGCAGGAGGATGTTATGGTACTGAGTGCGAGAAAAACCACCTTGAGGCCGAATGAGCCAAATTGTGAGTCTTTATTAGCTGGCCAGCGACTACCCTCCGTACCACCACAGATGGCTGCACAGAGAGCAGTCCAGAGCCGAAAAGGTGAGAAGGCTTTATACTAATTTGGAGGGGGGCTATGTGACATTAAACATGACATAGTGGAACAAAAATAATTACATCATACATTCCATAGCCGTGGGGTCTGGGACCCGCCTCAGACCACCTGCCTTGGCTTGGGGCTTGTTTCCATTTTTTGGGCAGGCAGTTTTCCGGAGGCGGTTGGCTTCGTTTAGGTCGGGGGGCTTTTTTTTTTGGTTGGGGCAGTTCCGTTAATTTTTCTTCCGGCCGGTTGGGGGGTCTTACGCAATCAGTTACAAGGTCATTGCTCACAGAGTACAGACTTTTTCTATTAGGGCGAGGTTTACAAAGTATAAGCTTTTTACTCTATAGACAGGAATGAGTCTTGAAACAGCGTTTTCATAATAACTTTTCATATTTTTGAGGCCTACTACTACAGAGGATCGCTCAAGGTCAGTAGTTCAAGAGCAGCCTGAGCACGAGTGAGACCCCGTCTCTACTATAAATAGAAAGAAATTAGCTGGACAATTAAAAATATATAGAAAAAATTAGCTGGGCATGGTGGTGCATACCTGTAGTCCCAGCTGCTTGGGAGGCTGAGGCAGAAGGTTTGCTTAAGCCCAGGAGTTTGAGGTTGCTGTGAGCTAGGATGACGCCACGGCACTCACTCTAGCCCGGGCAACAAAGCAAGACTCTGTCTTAAAAAAAAAAAAAAAAACAAAACCAAACCAAAAACAGGTTGATCCAAGTGCAGTGGTGTTTACAACTAATTGATCACAACCAGTTACAGATTCCTTTGTTCCTTCTCCACTCCCACTGCTTCACTTGACCAGACTTTAAATAAAAAACAAACAACAAACCCTCACAAAACTGTGAAATATGATAAGCCTGATGTAATGAAAACCGTAATGTCCAAATACTGCATAAAATGTAATCTTATTTGACAAACATCAAC